AAAATTTTTGTAAAAATACTAAACATTCAATTATTTTGAAAATATTGATAAACTTTTTGGTCAAAAACTCCATTATTTTTAAATTCTTCGTAGAAATTCAATTATTTTAAAAACTGTAATAATATTCTTCTCAAGAATACAATTATTTCAGAAATTTTAATAAAATTCTTGTCAAGAATTCAAATATTTCAAACAATTTTGAAAGTTTTGTTAAAAATTCAATTATTTTCAAATTTTTCTAAACAATTCAATATTTCAAAAATTTTAATTTAGTTCTTGGCTAAGAATTCAATTATTTTCATAAATAATAAGATTTTCGTAGAAATCCAAATATTTCAAAAAAAAATATAAATTATTTCGATAAAAGTTTTGTTTAAAAATTCAATTATTTTAAAATTTTTTGTTGAATAATTCAATTATTTCTGAAATTTTAATTAAGTTTTTGACAAGATATCAATTATTTTCATAAAAAATAAAATTTATCGTAGAAATTAAATTATTTCAAAGATTTTGATAAAAGTTTTGACAAAAATTGTAATTATTTTCAAAGTCTTTGTTTTAAAAAAAATTTTAATAAAATTTCAAGAATTTAATTATTTAAGAAATTTTGATAAATTTCTGTCAATAAAAAATTGAATGTTTTGTATTAGAATTCGTGTTAATTTAATAGTTTATGAGTCAAACAAAAAAAAAACAGAAAAATTTAATTAGTAAAACATTAATATTAAAATTAACTTAATTGAATTTTCAAACAAACACTATCAATGACAGTATTATTTGAATAAAGTATAATTTTCCAATTCATTGAGAAGAAAATTCTTCGGAGGCAACAAACAATTCTATTTTAATTTGAATACCTTCAATATATCGATATAGAAACAGCAAGTGTATTCCCAAGGGACATGTATATATCACACATAGTTAACAAGAGTTATTGTCTCCTGGAGTAAGTCGAGAGAGGGGGGCAATCGATTCAGTTCAAGAATTTGACTCCCCCAGCTCTTGTTTTAAGCAATTTGTACATATTACACATACAGTAACTACATAATACCACCGTTCGTGATTAATATGAGCAATATTTCTAATATTCTACTGGTATAATAATAATTTCATTATTTTATACTTCGCCTCGTGTTTTAGTCATTTAGAAATTTGGGAGAAGTCTTTATAGAATGAAATTTCTATAAAGACTTCCACTTTAGAATCCACTATATTTAATGTTATAAAATCTTGTTTTTATTAATTTAGTTTTCACATTTGCTGGATCTATTCGTATATTAGTTAATGTACTTTTAACTACTTTTCGTATAGTAAAAAATTATATGTGTGTCATAAATTATACCCACAAAATTTTTAGTGTTTCCGGAAAGATATACACATACAGAACCGAGGGAAAAGACGTTACTGATTTTAAATAGAAATTTATATTTTAGACTTTAGTAACTACACTTCTATTAGAATATTTGAGATTTTTATATTTTTCAAATAAGTTTTTGTTTTTTAATTTCAATTGAAATAAATTAATATTTCTTTTTTAATAGATGTACTTATTAGATATACTAATACTTATTACATATGCAAATAAAAAAATAATTATTATAAGAATCATTTTAAATTCAAGGATTAAAAAAAATTTAGTTATTAACTAATTATCTGTTTTAATTTTTAAAAAATTTTTATAACTTTCTTTGAAATACTTTAATTATTTCAATTCAATTAAATTATTTTCAATTATTTTCGAAAGTGTAACCTAATAAAATTCTTGGCAAGAATTAAATTATTTTAATAAATAAAATACATTTTTTTCGAAGGAATACAATTATTTTAATAAGTAAAATATAATTCTTCAAAGGAATTCAATTATTTTAACAAATAAAATACAATTCTTGGAATGAATTCAATTATTTTCGATACAATTTCAATTAAACTTCTCGAAAAAATTCAATTCAACATTAAAAAAAAACATTATTCGAACACTTTCAATAAAATTCTTTAAAAGAAATCAATTATTTTCATAACTAATAAAATTATTCGTAAAAATTCAATTATATTTCAAAAACTTTAATAAAATTCTCATCAATAATACAATTATTTCAGAAATTCTATTAAAGTTCTTGTCAAGAATTCAATTATTTTCAAAGCTAATGGAAATTTTGGTAAAAATTCAAATATTTCAAAAATTTTTATGAAAGTTTTGTTAAAAATTCAATTATTATTAAATTCTTCGTAGAAATTCAATTATTTCTAAAACTCTAATAATATTCTTCTCAAGATTTCAATTATTAAAGAAATTTTAATAAAATTCTTGACCAGAATTCAATTATTTTCATAGCTTTTAAAAAATTTTGTAAAAATGCAATTATTTTAAAAATTTTTATAAAATTTTTGTAAAAAATCCCATTATTATTAAATTTTTTGCAAAAATTCAATCATTTCATAAACGTTAGTAAAATTCTTTTTTAAGAATTGACTTATTTCAGAAATTTTAATAGAATTCTTCACAAAAATATAAATATATTTCAAAAATTTTGATAAAAGTTTTTGTTAAAATTCAATTATTTTCAAATTCTTTCCAATAATTCAATTATTTTTCAAATTATAATTATGTCTTTGACAAGAATTCAATTATTTTCATAAAAAATAAAATTTATCGTAGAAATTAAATTATTTCCAAAAAATTTTGATAAAAGTTTTGCCAAAAATTCAATTACAGTCAGTTCCCGCAATATGAATATTTCGCTATCTGACGAATTTCGTCAACTGACTCTTAATGGGCTTAAATCGGTTTCGCTACCTGACCAACCGTACTTTCACTTTTGACGCGCGCTCAGTGCCGAAAGAGCCTCCTAGTTTTTCGTGGTTACTCGTAGTGACAAGGCGGCATAAAAATTTTGTTTAGAGCCAAAAAAAAGTTAAAATTTGCTAGGACTACGTCCTACGTCCCTGAAATTGCTAGGATCTTGGTGGAGGGGGAGCGCTTGACGGGATGGTCATATACCGAATAAGCCACCAAGGAAAAATTCGAGACTTTAGTCAGATTGCGGGAACTCACTGTATTTTCAAATTCTTCTGAACAATTCAATTCTTTCAGAAATTTTAATTAAGTTCTTGACAAGAATTCAATTATGTTCATAGCTAATAAAATTCTTTGTAAAAAATTCAATTTTGTATTTCAAAAACTTTGATAAAATTTTTGTCAATAATTCAAATATTTCAAAAATTTTTATAAAAGTTTTGTTAAAAAATCAATTATTCTCAAATTCTTCTGAACAATTCAATTATTTCAAAAAACTTTGATAAATGTTTTGCAAAAAATACCAATTATTTTCAAAGTCTTCGTTTTTCTTTAAAAAAAGTTTTAATAAAATTCCAAGAATTCAATTGTTTAAGAATTTTAAATAAATTTTAATTTTATAATTTTTTTTTAGTTTTTTTTTTAAAATGCAATTATTTCAGAAATTTAAAAAAAAATCTTGTGCAATATTTCTAAAAATTAACTTATTTAAAATTTTTTTTTAATTTTCTTCGGGAAACCCCTAATTAAATTAATTCCAATGAGTTTAGCTATTATTTTTTGTATATTGAATCTACTCGTAAAATTAAATGTGTGTATACTAACTGTTAATTCTCTACACCCAGAAAAAAATATATTTGACTCAGAGCCTACTAAACATTTTATTTATTTCAAATAGAATTTTATTTAAACCAAAAATTTGAACCAAAATTTTTTTTTTTGGTTCAAGTAAAAATTTTTTTGGTTTAAATGCAATTTTTTTTTGGACAAATAAATTTTTTTTTTTGCGTCAAAGAAAATTTCTATTTAAAGTAAATAAATTATTTAGTAGTCTCTGTGACAAATAATTATAGATATCTTTATTTGTTGAAAGTTGAAATAAATTATATTTGATTTAAATAAAATTTTTCTCTGGTTGTAGGTCAAAATGGTTAAACTTTGGAGTTGAGGGGTTATGATTTTGTGAACGGACGTAAGTGAAACCGTCCAAGTTTTCCGTTACAGAACTCTTAAAAGGGTATAATTTCAAACAAAAAATCTACCTCTTTTCTAAATAAATATATTTCTTTTTTCAAATAAAAAAAAAGTCTATTTTTTTATAAAATAAAGTTAATTTTTTTTTTATAAAATAAAGTTTATTTATTTTTATAAAATAAAGATTATTTTTTTTATAAAATAAAGTTTATTTATTTTTATAAAATAAAGTTTATTTATTTTTATAAAATAAAGATTATTTTTTTTATAAAATAAAGTTTATTTATTTTTATAAAATAAAGTTTCTTTATTGTTATAAAATAAAGTTTTTTTTCGAAAAAAATAATCCAACACCTGTTTAAATCCGTTGAAAGACCTCGTAAAATTAATTTGCCAAAAAAAAATATTTTTTTAAATAAAAAATAAATATTCTTCCGAGATGAAAAATACATTTTTTTTAATAAGACATAAATATTTATTTACATTTTCTCGAAATTATACCGTATTCTTAAAATTGAGAAATCGAACTACAAAAGTGGCACTTTCAGAAAAAAAATTGCCCATTCAGAATATTATATATACAAATTTTCTTTCATTCTTTTTTTTCTCAACACACTCTAGACTGAACAATTTTGTTTTCTCATAAAAATGCAAAAAAGTCGAGAGAGGCATTTTTCTAGTGATTGAGAGAGAGAGAGAGAAAAAAGAAAAACCCAGCTAGAAATTAAATTCGCGACAGTGTTTATATATATATATCGAAGAATATACGGAACTTAGTGGAGGCGCGAAGGAAGAGCAACGATGAAGGTAAAGGATAATGGCTTGGCGAGGAGAATACAATATAAACGTAGAGAGAATAGGGGTGGAAGGGGTTTGGGGGGGGGGTTTACGTCGTGTCATATACAGCAGCAAAGTAAAGTACACACGTCTTAGGAAGTGAAGCAGGCAGGAGTCTTGAAGTTTCAAAACTAAACTATATAGATAGAGAGAGAGAAACCAGAGCATAACTCACTTGGCTTATCCAGATCAGATATCTCAACCTGTGAGTACACTGCAGCAACCTTCAGCAGTACCGACACCATTGTCGCAACACTCCACTGGCACCAGCACATTTTTTTTTCTTTTTCTTTTTTTTTTTTTTTATCAACACAGACACATTGACACAACACGTTTGTTCTTCGCCAAAGGCACACACCCTTCAACCCTTTAACTTGGACCGCTCATGGTCTCTTTGTAATCCTGCACTAATTACTGCAGCATCGCACTTTTCATGCTCTCTCTAAAAGTGAATGCATGCGGGAAATTCGACACCAGCTTCACAGTATTACCACTTGATATATCCTCTCTTCCTCCTCCTCCTCTCTTTCTCCCTCTCTTTTTCCTTTTGCGTTTTATATTCCCTTTTCCAATGAAATAAGCCGATCGATGCTTAAAGTGGCGCGTCAATCTTTTATTCTCGACGAACAATAATCACGGTTAACATTTTGCAAAGTTTGTCTTCTCTCTTTTTTCATTCCGAGTCGTTTTTTTGAAATCATTCTTGTTTTTTCGCTGGAAACGAGTCAAAATTTAAGTTTTGCCTTCGATCGAATCTTTAGTTTTTCTTCATAGAACTTCTTTCGTTTTATCTTTGAACGAAGTTTCAATTTTTCTTCCGTTTTCGTCTTCGAACGAATTTTCAGTTTCGTCTTCGATCGAAACTCAGTTTCGTCCTCGATCGATGCTATAATTTCTCTTCCGTTTCCCCTTCGATCGAATCTTCAATTTCTCTTCCGTTTTATCCGCGAACAAAATTTAAATTCCTCGTCACTTTTGTCTTCGATCGAAGCTTCAGTTCTTCTTCGCAGTTTCGTCCTCGATCGAATCTTCAATTTCTCCCGCGTTTCATCCGCGAACGAAATTAAAATTCCTCCTTCACTTTTGTCTTGGATCGAAGTTTCTTCTTCTTCGCAGTGTTTCGTCGTCGATCGAATTTTTAATTTCTCTTCCGTTTTACCTTCGAACGAAATTAAAATTCCTCCTTCACTTTTGTCTTCAATCGAAGTTCTTCTTCGCAGTGTTTCGTCGTCGATCGAATCTTCAATTTCCCTTCCGTTTTACCTTCGATCGAAATTAAATTCCCTCCTTCACTTTTGTCTTCGATCGAATCTTCACTGTTTCCTCGAAATTTCGTCTTCGATCGAATCCTTAATTTCTCTTCAGTTCCGTCTTCGATCGATTCTAACTTTTTTTTCTTCGAAGAAGTCTTACAATTTTCTAGTTCGTTTTCTATTTCGTATTTTTTTTCCTACTTTTTCTATTCGTCAATTTGTATTTCTTTGTCGCATTATCGTGATTTAGTTCTCTCCATTATCTTTTCTTTTCATCCATTTGACTTGATCGGTGTCATTTCTATTTTATCGGTATGTAATCATTTTCTTTATTTTATCATGTAATCACTTTCGTTCTGTGTTTTATTATCGCGTACAATCATTTTATTCGGGATTTTACCATTTGAACCGGTATTTTTGTCATTTTATCGTGCGATCACCAACTCTTATCATTTTCTATCATTTCATCCGTGTGTATAGTTTTTCTTTTTCTTTATTCGTAAATATTTCAGCGTACTTTTTTTACTCCAATTTTTGAATATCCTTTCTTCTTTAACTAATTTAAAAAAAAACACTTTTTTTCTTGACTATTTACTTTTTAGTAAATACTTTTCACTTTTTAGTATTTTTATTATTTACTTTTTAGTATTTTTATTATTACTTTTTAGTATTTTTATTTTTAGTAAATAGTAAATAGTAAAAATAATAGTTTTTTTCAATTCTAGTATTTCTTCGTTCACTTTTTTCTTCAAAAAACACTTTTTATTTTACACTTTTTCCTTGACGGTACACTTTTAGGTATTTTTACTATTTTTACTATTCTTCGTAAATAGTAAATACTTTTCTTCACTTTTAGGTATTTTTACTATTTTTCCTCGATAGTAAATAATTTTCTTCACTTTTGGGTATTTTTACTATTTTTCCTCGATAGTAAATAATTTTCTTCACTTTTGGGTATTTTTACTATTTTTCCTCGATAGTAAATACTTTTCTTCACTTTTAAGTATTTTTACTATTTTTCCTCGATAGTAAATACTTTTATTTCCTCTTTAGTATTTTTAGTAAACACTTTTATTTACTCGTTAGTATTTTTACCAACATTTTTTTATTTACTCGTTAGTATTTTTACTAAACACTTTTATTCACTATTTAACATTTTTTATTTCCTATAAAAAAAATGTTCTGAATATGAAAAATTTAATATGGAGATATTTTTTGTTTTTGCAATAAAAAAGAGTCGAAGATTTTTGAAGATTCGTAGATTTCACTCGCCGTTGGATTGTAAATTAAATATTGAAAGATCCGGAGGTGATGAATGATTTGAAGGCATCGGACAATTAAGTTGTGCGCCGAGACCTTGTCATTTAGTTGTGTGTCGCGCAACATAAACTGGAGTTCAGTTTGTATATCCAAATTAACCGATTTTGCAGTCAATTATCCATTTGATTTTCAAGTTCCAAACTTTTGATTCCAATGAACTTTTAATTCTAATCCAGTAGACTTTCATCCCCCTTCAACTAACTCCCTTTTCAATTTATTGTCTTTTTGAATTTAATTTCTTAATTATGCAATTAATTTTCAATTTCAGTTTTTAATAATTTTTATTAACTTTCGATTTTAATTTTAACTTTCGACATCGAATTTTAATTTTCAATTTTAATTGTTAATTTCCAATTTTAATTGTTAATTGTTAAGTTTCAATTTTAATTTTAAGTTTCAATTTGAGTTTTCGATTTTAAAATGATTTCGATTCGTAATAGACGTAAATTTTTCAATTTTAGTTACTTTCCAACTATATTTTTATATTTTTAAATTAGAGAATAATTTTTTACTGAACACTAATCACTTTTTTTTCTAATTGTGTTATTATCCTCGAGATAGAAAATAAAATAATTTTTTTCTCCTCTAGAATAGAAAAAAATTTTTTTTGATCACAAATTTTACAGGAAAACTTTTGATGCGAATAGTTTCGAGTTGTGTTATAATAAATGGGGATGATTTAAAATTGGGGTGGGGGATGAGAATAGCACAAAGGGGATGAGAAATAATAGGAGTCACTGAGCACAGTTTTCATTCATAGAAAATAGATGGGATCCCTGCGTGAAGAGAGCATAAAGAAGAGATCGAAACGAAATTTCCCCCATTTAGGGATGGAACCACGTCGAGTCGTAACCCGTGGCGGCTCGGTACTGAACCAGTCTGAACCATTGAAAACCACGAGAGACTGCCGCACGAGCCAACTCGGTGCTCCTCGGGAGCACTCGACTTTATTCGTTATATAGCAAGTCGACATCAGGCTTTTGCTCTCTCTCTCTCTCTCTCTCTCTCTTATACTGCAGATCGCTATGATTTAGAGGGACAGCTAATGACTCGCCATAATCGCCGCGTTGCAGGCAGGATGCAAGCAGGAGATGCATATATATACATTGAGAACATCGAATCCGATCGCCATATCTAAATCAGGACGATCCGGAAGCACTATTCGCTCTAGATGCCTCAAATGTGCTCGTATGGATTTTGAGATTTTGAGGGATGTAGATAGAAATCATGTAATGTTGATGTATCGGGTTTATTTATGGTTGAGAGAAATCATTATTATTCCCTGTGAGTTGATTATTTTTCACTTAAGCACTCAACGCAGTAAATGTGAATTCAAATTAATGTTCAAAATAATTCATGTATTTAGTTAAAAATGTAAATTATTAAAAAAAAATTGTGAAATTTGTTTCAGTAGTTAATCTGTTAATCTATACATTTTAATTAGTAAAAATGTTTACTATTAAAGAGACTGACTTTTTGCGTTGTAATTAAAAAATTTGATCAATAAATAGTAATTTTTACTAATTTATTAGTAAATTTGACTTATAAATAGTATTTAGTAAGATTTACTAATTTGACTAATAATATAGTCATTTTTACTAATTTCTTATTAAAATTTACGAATTTGACAATTAAATAGTATTTTTTACTAATTTATTATTAAAATTTACGAATTTGACTAATAAATAGTCATTTTTAATATAATTTTTGAGTAAGATTTACTAATTTAACTAATTTCTTAGGAAAATAAACGAATTTGACTAATAAACAGCAATTTCTATACTAATTTCATCATAAAATTTACGAATTTGACTAATAAGTAGTAATTTTTACTAATTTATTAGTAAATTTGACTAATAAATAGTATTTAGTAAAATTTACGAATTTGAATAATAAATAGTCATTTTTTTACTAATTTCTGAGTAAAATTGACTAATTTGAATAATTTCTTAGGAAAATTAACGAATTTGACTGATAAATAGCAATTTCTATACTAATTTCTTATTAAAATTTACGAATTTGACTAATAAATAGTCATTTTTAATATAATTTTTGAGTAAGATTTACTAATTTGACTAATTTCTTAGGAAAATAAATGAATTTGACTAATAAACAGCAATTTCTATACTAATTTCATCATAAAATTAACGAATTTGACTAATAAATAGTAATTAGTAAAATTTATAAATTTGAATAATAAATTTACGAATTTCTATACTAATTTTTTCTTAAAATTTACAAATGTGACTAATAAATAGAAATTTTTAGTAACTAAAATTTTTAGACTAATAATTAGTGTTTAGTAAAATTTACGAATTTGAATAATAAATGGTCATTTTTAATATAATTTCTTAGTAACATTTTTAATACTAATTTGACAAATTTCTTAAGAAATTTAACGAATTTGACTAAAAATAGTAATTTTTACTAATTTATTTGTAAACTTGACTAATAAATGGTATTTAGTAAAATTTACGAATTTGAATAATAAATAGTCATTTTTAATATAATTTCTTAGTAAAATTTATTAATTTGACAAATTTCTTACGAAAATTAACGAATTTGACTAATAAATAGTCATTTCAACTAATTTCTTAGTCAAATTTACCAGTTTGACTAATTTAGTCAAATTTACCAATTTGACTAATTTAGTCAAATTTTAGTCATTTTTTCTATAATTTCTTAGTAAAATTTACTAATTTGGCAAATTTCTTAGGAAAATTAACGAATTTGACTAATAAATAGTAAGTAGTAAAATTTACAAATTTGATTTATAAATTTACGAATTTCTATACAAATTTCTTAAGAAAATTAACGAATTTGACTAAAAATAGTAATTTTTACTAATTTATTTGTAAACTTGACTAATAAATGGTATTTAGTAAAATTTACGAATTTGAATAATAAATAGTCATTTTTAATATAATTTCTTAGTAAAATTTATTAATTTGACAAATTTCTTACGAAAATTAACGAATTTGACTAATAAATAGTCATTTCAACTAATTTCTTAGTCAAATTGGTAAATTTGACTAATTTAGTCAAATTTTAGTCATTTTTTCTATAATTTCTCAGTAAAATTTAAAAATAAATATTTAATTATTTTTATTTTTCCACAGGAATTAAGATATTCAAAAATTTCGAATTCCAACCTTTTGGAAATTAATAAATTTTAAAAATATTGTTATAAAACATAAAGACAACGATTACTCCGAGTCGAAGACTCGGAGTAATCGATATCTTCATGTTTTATAATAATTAAAGATAACCGAGTGATAAAATAATTATTTTACATTATAAAAATATTGTTACTGTAAATTATTCATAAAAATTATTTTCTTCATTTCAATTCAATTATTATTTTCTAGATAATTACATTTATTTTTCATGAAAAAAATTGAATTATTATGAAGAAATTTATACAAAATTTGTAAGTAATTTAATTCCTGTGAAATTTTTATTATTTATGAAATAAAAATAATAATAATAATTGAAATAATTGAAATAATAATAAATAATTAAAAATAATAATAAATAATAAATAATTAAAAAATAATTGAAATTCGGACAAGAATGTTTTTGAAATTTTTGAAAATAATTGAACTTTCAGGAAGAATTTTGTTATTTATAAAGATAATTGGGATTTTGACAAGAATTTTTTTTAAATTTTGAATATAACTGAATTTTATGAGAAGAATTGAATTGAATAATTGAATTCTTTTCACGAATATTAATCAAATTTTTTAGAATAGTTTTATTTTCAAGGAATTCAATTAAAAATGTATTAAAAATAATTGAAATTTTGCGATGAGTTTTATTATTTTTGGAAATTATTGAATTATTGAGAAGAAACTTATAAAAAAATTTGTCATCCTGGGAAATTTTTCTTATTTATGGACATAATTTATTGTTTGCGTAAAATTTTTAAAAAATTGTTTTTAAATAATTGAATTCTTTTGGGTAATTTTATTACAATAGTAGATATTGAAAATCATTGGAAAATGAGGAAAATTTTTTAAAATAATTAAAATTTTGACAAGAATTTTGTCAAAATTTTTGAAAATATTTGAATTTTGAAGAATTTTTTTATTTATATAGATAATAATTGGGATGTTGTCGAGATTGTTTGTAATTTTTGTACATAATTGAATTCTGTGATTAAAATTTTATTACTTTTGAAAATAATTGAATTTCTGCAATCATTCGTAACTTCTTCAAAAATTTAATTTTTTTAATTTAATTTTAATTTAATTTAATTTTTTTTTTAATTTTAAAAAGTGAGTGAGTAGTCAACTAGTCTCTTATTATATTAAGTTGAAGAACGACCGACCGACCGA